AGCCCCTAGTAGCGTCCTTGCTCCTAGTAGCGATGCCAGGAGCCCCTAGTAGCATCCTTGCTCCTAGTAGCGATGCCAGGAACCCCTAGTAGCGTCCTTGCTCCTAGTGCAAACCGTTCTGGTGAAAAGACTCGACCGCTGTTTTTTCCGGGAATTGTGTTTGACTGTCGGACGTATTTGCTCTCCGAAACGCGCTGGCAGGGCTGGGTGATGTCTGTTTTCTGCACTTGCACTTCCAAGTAGCATGGTGCAAATACAAAACATGTGCTGTTGTAAGAACCTAGACAGCACGATTGACTGAAATGTGAGGTGCGTCATGTGGCGTTGCAGCGGTGTCTCACAGTGTCTGACAAGAGTGCGTGCCTTGCAAGGATACTTCACTAGAATGTGTGTTCTGAGATACATGCTGCCGTCACGGGGAGAAAACAACTGCGCAAATCACATTCTATTCGCATTTGGTTTTGTAGACATTATCAGGTTCAACCCATGGGTTTCTTCTCATGGCAATTCCAAAAATGAGACAAGTTCATTTGACCAATTCGATTAGAGACCATCGCTAGTTTCTGGGTTGGAATCCATCGCTAGCAGGTTGGAGGGCATCGCTAGTAGGAGCGGGCTAACCCAAAAGAACACAATATGCAGGCTTTGCAACGATATGTCTTGTTCCATCTACTCTCGTGCCAAAGATCTTGGGTCACGTAAACAAGTCTGTATACGACATTAATGGAACCCCACACCAAAGATGTCAGGACTAGCAACTGGAAATTGTTGTATCTTGTCGTAAAGCGTGGCGGCACTTACCTTGAGTTTTTGGACGTCGTGGAACGTTGGGCTAAGTATTTTTCAACTCCCTCCTTGGATGTCGCGGATCGACAAGCAATGCATAAACGCATCATTCAATTCTCGCTATTAAGTGCACCAAGCTTCCCACGACTACACCTGCTTCGAAACACCCACAAACCTCCACAGTTCCACCTCATGCATAACCCTATCCTTGGGATAAATCCTTCGTAAGCAGCACAAGCCTGTCGAACAAGTGAAAACAACTGACTTTGTTGCAGTTTCCTGCGAGATCAACTATCTAAGTTCTTCGGTACCCAGGATTATCCCAGATTAGAATGTCAAAAAGAAATTTATCTATCCTCTCAGTATCTGTCTCCTGTCTTAAGGACATTCCCCAACCTAAGAATCTTTAGAAACATTCCAACAGCATTCAAAGCCAAAGTGGAAGGCAACAGGTTAGCAAGACGTTGACCAGCGAGAACCACCAAGAAGCGTGGAAGGAAACGAACACGTTTGGAAGAATCAAAGACTTCGAAATGCGAAAAGAATAGCAAAAGCCGTCTCTGGGCATCTGACCACTTGCAACGGCTTCGCGCATGCAAACAGGTGAGAACGTGCGAACGTGTGCCGACGTGCCGTGGCCATCGGCCAGGCTGGCGACTTCGACCCAAAACTCGCTGGAACGCCTTCGGACGCCTTCGGACGCTCCGAACATCCGACGGACGCCTTCGTTCCATTTGGCGATGCCCTTTGCCCCGTTCGTAGCAAACATTGCTCCTAGTAGCGATGCCAGGAGCCCCTAGTAGCGTCCTTGCTCCTAGTAGCGATGGGCTCCATGTTTATCGAAGATACGAATGTGTTCGTGTTCACATTTCTGTTTTTGCAAAATGAAGTTCTTATCGAACTCTCTTGTGTTGGAGTTCTGATTGTTTGCTCCCTTCTCATCTGGGCATGCACCTCCTAGTGGTAAGCACCGAGACCTGGTGAAAGATGAAAGCAGGCAGTACCCGTTTCGCCAAGCTCTTGAGAAACAATTCGAGCTAGAACCAAAAAATAATCGAGTCAAAATAATTGTATGTTGTACTACCTGATGGTGAAACAGCTTCCAGAGTTGGGCCCACATGTATATTCACTCTCATCCCTGAAACAGAAATTGTACCACTCAAAAAGCATTTCTGAAAGGAATAAAGCATTTATAGTAGATGACTTAAGGCCAATGGCATGTTGTGGGCCCAAGCCTGGATTGATCGGTGCCCTTGCGGGCATGTCAATGCATTAAGTCTTGCCCAAGGAGTCCAATGGAAAAAGAAGATCAAGTAGCGTCCTTGCTACTAATAGCGATGACAGGAGCTACTAGTAGCGTCCTTGCTCCTAGTAGAAATGCCAGGAGCTACTAATAGCGTTCTTGCTACTAGCAATATCGCATTTGAAGAAATCCATCACAACTGCAAACATTCCAGTCCTTCAATATCGCCTTTTACCTTGTTCGTATTCCTCGACTCTCAGTGGTCTTTCCGATATGCCAATGTGATTTGAACAATAAACACTCATGAGATCAATTTGCAAAAAAACATAGTGAAGAGTCGAGTTGAAGGCTCTTGAAACCAACTTGCCTCATGTCTTCCAAGAGAGTCTCTTGGCGACTTGTTTCGGTGTGAAACTCGTGGCCGTTGGTTTCCGGACTCACTTGCTAATTTCGCTACTAGGAACAAGTGCCACGCTAGTAGTAACAGGTGCCTTACTAGTAGTAACAAAAAGCTTACGTGTCTCTTGTCCGGACTCACTTGCACGACACTTTTGTGCGACAGACGTGCCCTTCTCTCAGTACATTCTGAGACGAGGCTTTCACCTGCCAGTTCTGCTTGCCTTCAGCTTCTGCTCTGGCTGTTTCTGTTCAAATCCCAAGCGTCACAGGGTATAGGTTACCTTTTGTTTTACAACATATGACCACCATTACTATCAGGTTGGAGATCGCCAGTACTTCCTTCTTTTTTGACATAGACGAACCTTTGACTCCATAGACTCCGTAGACCAACCTTTTGATCCAATGGCAGCTTGGTGCAGCCACCTAGAAAGTCCACGCTTTGGCGGCTTCCGCTTTCCTGCAAGTGGTCACCAACCCGAATGGCGAATGCAACGCAAACAAAAGAAAAGAACAAAAGAAAATACAAGAAAAACAGAAGTATATATAATGATCTAAAAGTAAAAAGGTGCATTTCGTTGAGAATTGAAAGCCGTGACGAAAAATCCTTTTCATCTCTGAGGCGTGAGCTGAGTCGATCAGTCCCGGACCGCCGACCTGAGCTGAGAGTGACCGTGCCAAGTTCGCAACAACGAATTCAGATCGCTTTTGGGACGTTCTTTTATCAAATCTTGTTTAAAAAATATATAATTAAAATCGTTTTTTCTATATATTCTATGTGTTTTATGTTCTACTTTTTTTTAGCCCGCGCGCACGGGGGAGGGGGTAGGCCGCGGAGGTCGCTAGGGAGTCGCAGGATAGCAGGATGCAGGATAGCTCGCGCTAATGATGTTTAGGGAAGCTACTAGTAACAAGTGCATCGCTTCTAGTAACAAGTGCCTTA